CCGTTACATTAATGTGTTTTATTAAAACCTTGATATGTAATTGAGAACATAACTTCTGGTGTGTACGTATTACACTGCTACCTGTGCCAAGAAAGATAATTATCTACATATCAATGACATATTATACTTTCAATCAAATGTAATAATGAAACTAGGTTGTCCGTTACATTAATGTATTTTATTAAAACCTTGATATCTAATTGAGAACATAACTTCTGGTGTGTACGTATTACACTGCTACCTGTGCCAAGAAAGATAATTATCTACATATCAATGACATATTATACTTTCAATCAAATGTAATAATGAAACTAGGTTGTCCGTTACATTAATGAGTTTTATTCAAACGACTATAAATTCTATTTTGACATTAAGCCTTGGTGAATCATTACCCTTGTAGTCGAAGTGGTATTATATTCGTAGTTAAATGATGGTTGGAATTATTAGATTTATATATTTTAAAACGAAATATTATTGGATTTTCAGATATTTCTTTGGGAGGTGAGTGAGGTACTAAGTTTACTGTAGAGTTTAATTTGTAGAAGTAAATAATTCGAATCTTCATAATGCTCTTCCTGATGTTAGGATGTGGTATAACAATCATCTTTATAGAGATTTGTCCACCTGTAACTCTACGGACGCTAAAATGTGGCTTTGCTCAAAATCAAACAACAACAACTTTTACTCCGCTGTAGAAATTAGAGTAATATCAAACGTAATAGTATGTTGACTTAAACGTCTCCAGTGAACAGATCAGGTGCCTCTGCAGAGTTGCAAATTGCAATTTAATGAAATTATTATTATTATTTCTATGTAGCCAAAACAACTGAAAAATTCATTAATTTTGGTATACGTGAAAATGTCTTTAATTTGATAATATGAATTGTTGAAGAATAATGTATCACCTAAAAGTTTTTTTAAGTTGGTTATAACGGAGCTTTAAAGATTCAACGTCTTATTTCGTGTAGGTAAAACAGTTTTCAATTTTCTGTAAAACACATCTAGATGGAAGTGAGTAGACTATTGTATTTATATTAACCTATGAGAAACTGTCCATACAGTATTAAAAGATAACCTAAACTGCTGCAAGTGTCGAACACTTTTGGATGTTAGACTACGTCAAAATCAGAAGAAATGTCCAGACGTGACGTCGAGAATGGACTCATGTAAAGAATAGAAACATATTTTACGTTCTCTTAGTTTTTAATAAATTGTTTTACTTTTTTCTTTATTCTGTTGTTTTAATACTAAGAAAAATACATCTCATTGTTCCAACAAATTTTTGTTTTTGTTGTGTAAACAAATAAGTTATTTTACATCTATTGATTAATTTGTGTTATTTCTTTATTTTTAAACTAGTCAGCTTTTTATGTATGCTGTATCCACCTAGTATAATGATTAGTTCTGAAAAGGTTCCTTCAAAGGGACTTAAAATTGGGCATTGATCCCATCACCATCATAGTCCCATTTTTTTAATTTGTCCTAAGGGATTTCATTTGAATTATTGAAATAACGTTATACCACCGACGTAATTTTTTATCATATTGTTTCATTTACTACACTTTGTTACTTAAACATCGAACCAAATTCACCATTAGAGTTTTATTCTTTTAATTATTATGATAAAGAATTTAATGAATTTGTGGAAGTAAAAAAAATAGACAAAAGTGTGTAGAACATTAATGATTCACAAAATGACTTTATTTTCCCGTATATTATGCTAATTACCTTTTTTGTGTCTTATGTTTAACTTCTCTATGTTGTTTCCATTTTTCTTTAAATCTCCAATTAAAATTTTTTGCAGCACATCCCTATGCCTGTGTTGTTTGGAGTCTTCCTATATATGGGTGTTTCAGCCCTGAAAGGCTTACAGGTATTTTTTTTTTTCTAAGAGGGAATTTAAAAGTAAATTTTTGGAATTAAAATTGTTCTGTTGTGTAACTTGAAGTTATTGGAGTTGAGGTAACTTATTTTCATCTGGCATTATTTATTCGAATCTAGTTTGAACCCACGTGAGTGTACTTCTATTACTTCATGTTCTTATTCAATCAGCTTTATAATAAACAATAAAAAAACAAAAAATTTTACTAACCAGAGATTTCTCCCTCTGTTATTTATACTAATGATTTATTTTTTTCTATTAAATAATATATATATATATTAAAATGCCAAACCGTAAGGAAAACAAATATTCATTATTGCGTTTCTGGTTACATAAAAAATAAAGTTTTCATAAATATGGCCTATTTAAATGGAATTTCATTTGTTAACTTTCATCTGTCTTAAGATTATCCTCGCGAAGAGTGAAAATCCTCACCGTGCCATACAAAATATTGTTTTATATATATATGTATTCACGTATAGAGGAATACATAATATTTTTCATAAATAGCAAATTGCTGCTTGTCTTTACGATCTTTATTTTGAAGTCATTTTTTTCTTTCTATGATTACAGTTCTTTGACCGGTTATTGATAATCTTCATGCCACAGAAGTATCAACCAGATTACATGTTTCTCCGCTATGTAGAGACGTTACGGGTTCACCTATTTACGTTCATCCAATTGGCCTGCCTAATTATTTTATGGGTTATTAAATCCTACAAGCCAACATCTATTGCTTTTCCTCTCATGGTAAGATATGGTGCATTATTTAGTAAAGACACATTCATGTTTCAGTAATGGTAATACATGGTCCATTAGCTAGTGACTACACATTCATGTTTCAGTAATGGTAATACATGGTCTTTTAGTCAGTGACTACATATACATATTTTCAGTAATGGTAATACATGGTCCATTAGCTAGTGACTACACATTCAT